CAGGCAGATTCTACACATGCTCTCCTTGTTGGCGCGACATTCCCTATGGCTGGCTGGGGCCTTACTGTTGACTCCTAGTTAACACCATATCTTCTTGAAGTTGAGGCAAATCAAGCCCCACTCTGGACGTCAAAATGTTTCTGTTAAAGATACACTAGTCTTTTATAGTCTTTCCTCTTGTCTTCTGACATGATGTCCTTATGGAATATTCCAAATTCTCCTTTGCTGTGATGGGAGTACCTGCAAAGGCACTCCAATGGTGAAGTCAATATTTGGTGTAGGGTAATAAATGTTATTTTATATTCAAAAGTTAATCATTTACCTGTACTTCTTACTTTCTTTTTATAGACAAGATATTGAGCTAATAAGCTTCATAACTTAGCCATGTCTTTAGCCTTCTAATTATTTAGGTAATTAGTCTTTTTCTTTAATGATTATCCATTTTAGTTTTTAATTATCTTATTGATTTATTTTAATATGATTGGAGGAATGTTCGTCTTTAGGGTACGCTGAAGGGATATTCAAATTTCTCTTTCTAATATAATGACCGAGTAATGTCTTATTCAATACAATTTTATTTGAATCCTTGTCAATAGTTTAGTGGTCTTTTGCTTTTAAAGACAAAAATTGCTATAGCATTTGAAAAATTTAAAGAAAATTTTTTATTTTTCATTTTGAGATTATTTGTCTTATTTTAAAAATTTATTAAAAATTAATTCAATAATTTTATATTTATTAAAATTTAAATAATATTGTTTATAATAATTATTTTCTTTGTTTTGAATTTTTTATCAAAAATATTAAATATTTCAATGAAGTTAAAATAAATAGTGTAATAATTAAAATAATAAATATAAAATTAAAAATAATCTAAAAATTATTATTCTAATTTTCAAAAAGGGTAAAGAAGAAATTTAAATATGATACGGTGAGAATAAAAATAAAAACAAAAACAAAAAGTCAAGGAAAGTGTATTTCCCTTATAAAAATTATTTTCTGTTTTTAAAATATAATATAATATAATACAATTTTTTATTATATTTTATGTTAAAAAAAGAAACTAATTTTAAAAGGGAAAATAAATACCCTCTTAGATTTTATAAACGTAAACGTTATATGAAATAGCACTTTAAAAATAAATATTATATAAAATATATTTTTTCTCGCTTTATCTGGAAGCTATCAATCGAGGGACCTCAAATAATTGTTTTTTCTTTGTCAATTAAATGGAATATTTTAATTAATATTGTCTAAATTGACCAAAATCCAAAGACAAACCTCATTATCACATATTGAAACTCAAATGCGTGATCCAAATACTGTACAAGATATTCTAGAATACGGTGCTCATAAGATTTGCATGCGAGACTTATAAGTAAATAAAATATCTTAAATATAGTAAACTCTAGAAAAGCTCATCCTCTAAGATTTGGCAAGACTCCATCGAATCATCAATCCTGATTCACCAAGAACCACAAATACCCACCCAATTACGGTGATAACAAAAATTTAGATATTAAAACCATTGGACGCAACACCACCAGCAGAAGGGATTCACTCTTAAGAAATTTGATGGGTTACATTTTCCAAATAACATAAGCCTGGCTAACTGCAACACTAAACTCATCCCTTTTTTAAAAAAATATTTTTAAAAATAAAATATAATATATATTAAATTTTATTTTAAAAAGAAAAACAAACATACCCTAAGTCATCAATATTTAATTCTCTGAGAGGGTTAGAAACTTTGTCAGGCTAATGTGTAACTTGCAACTGAGCAGCACACTTGTTCTCCTCTCTAGCTACCCATAAGAAACATTTCCTCTTAATGTTGTCACAAATTTGCCATATATCTTCTAGTATTCCTCTAATTGCATGTAGATGAATCTTCTTCCTGTAATCTTTAACAAGTTTTAAAGAATCAGACTCAAACAATACTCAAGATTTGAAGCAAGAAATAAATTCTTTAAAAATTAATTTATTTACTTTTTTTGTCTAAGAATTGACAAAGAAAAGGTCACAAAAGGCTTAGCCCAACCCAACAATTTGAAAAACACAACAGCCACGACACATAACTACAGACTTTTGTAAGAGGCTGCTTAGCACGACCAAAAAAGGTAAAAGATGCTACTTGGTACTTTTTGTGTGAGCCCTGCTGATTGGCCCTTCTGATTGATGTTCCATTGACCAAAAATCACAATGGACCTAAGTTAGATTTTTAATTATTTAAAAATTAATATTAATGAAGCCATTCTTTTAATATTCTTTATCATTGATAAAAAAGAATAAGATCATTATTTTTTAAACAAATATTATGTATATATTACATTACAGTCCGTCAAAGGTCATTTGCCAAGTAAATATGTACCAATATTTCTTGCCAAAAGGAATAAAATTTGAGTTCTATAAAAATAATTGACGTAGATTAATTTTAAATGTAAAATTAGTAATGAAGATTTATTTATTTTAAATTTATTAGATATATTATTAATTAATGGAAAACACATGTAAAAAAGAATTTTATTTTCTTCAACAAGATATTATCAGGTGATTTGAAATCACGATATATTTATAGTCTTAGTTAACTATATATATTTTTTTTCTACAAAAAATTAATGAAAAGAATGAGTTATTAAAATTATAAACATAAAGTAATCCTTTACTACCTAATAATTTTTTCTTTCTAATCTGGCATTTATAAAGAATGAAAACACCTTCAAAGTCAAATTTTGAAAATGTGAGTATTAAAATATTATATGTAGTTTTATTATCTAACTATATTATACTTGAATTATTTAATTAATATAATAATAATTTTATATATTTAGTTTATTTTTTAGTACAAACTTAGAAGTGTTAGTCTAGAGTATTTGGGTTTGGTGATATCCAATGTTTCACCAAAAACGAAACATCATGCTGATGGCAACCTTACATCAACAGAAAACCAGCCAATAACCTTCCAACTTGAGGGATGCAGAAAGTGATGAAATTATCCCATTTATGCAAAATGATGAGAGGAAGGGAACAGTGGCAATGGTTAACTTTATTATACTTTTGTTACGGTGGGGTAGAGATGAAGTTTGCGTTTGATGGTGACAGTGATGATGAGCACTTCTGGCAAGGCACGCGGAGCTCTCCATAGCTTTTGAAGCTACAAAGAGAATATATATGATGGTCTCCACTGCACGCTTATCTTCTTTTTCTTTCTTTCTCTCACAAACCCAGATTTTTTTTCACACACTTCTGAAGAAAATTAATTACCAGAATTTTCGGTGATTGTCACTCCCACAATCATCATCATATTTTATCCTTTTCCTACTTATATCCGTTACATTATATATTACATTACACTCCATCTCCTACGTGACAAATTGCTGCATGAGTATCATTGCATGTCATCATCATGCATGCCATCAGTATTTCCTCTGCAGGCCTCACATGCCTTAGCCACATGTCTTAACCCTTCTCAATCTTTAAGCAAGGTAAGATCAAATGAAATACACTACTGTGTTTATTATGTTCTATTCCTTTTTATTTTAAATATTAGCTTTTAAATTATATAGTCTTGTTTTATTCCATTTAATTATTATTTCTCCCAATTTAAAGGCATGAGATGAAATCGAAATCACCCGTATTACTATAATTTTTAATTGACATTTTTACCTGTTAGTAAAATCTCCTTTTTTTTTTTGTTGGTGAGTTGTCATTTCATCATTTCATGCTCCCTGCAATGCAGGCGGGATGACATGAAATAAGCTGTAATGTGATAAAATGAGTTGGAAAAATAATGTTATTATTTATAATTGTGAATCAGTGTACCAAAGTTTTTTTGGCAGCAACAAACATATATTTTTTGTATTTATATCTATAATATATGTTTGATAACAGTATCTCATATTAAAAACCAAAATGCGTCTTTTTGACAATAAGTTTCAGTATATAATACTCATAATTTGATGTATGTTTATATAAAAGACAAGAGGAAGCATGATGTTAGATACGTGGATCAAGTTGTATGCTTACTTTGGAGTCTTCAATCTTGCTCAAGATTGATGTGAGTCATCCTGGATAAACCACTTGTCTAGACAGTAATCTTAATCAGAAAAGCACACCTTTAGACCCAAGTCTGCTGTCATATAGCCATGCATTTCTATCGCCATTTATTAATTAGAATGTTTGAATTTACGTTTATGCCTCATTTAATTTTCCAACGTAAATCTTAATAATAACATTGTCTATGCTAGGAAATCTATCTTAAACCCCACCGATTCATACAGGTAACGCTTTTTGGACGTGCATTTTTTACTTCCCATGGATGGCAAAATCGATTACCTTGCTTTGCGCAAACGATTAATTAACATATATCTGCAACTTCTATTAAAAAATTAATCACAAGCCACTCTTAAAAGCTAATTAAAGAGAAGAGAAATGTTCAAACTTTATAGAGAATATTTTTAGTCAATATAAAGTTATTTTAACATATTTTCTCCCACTTAAAAGATAGGATATAAATAGGGTGTAAAGTTTGTAACAGTGAATTTTGAAACTATATTAAAAAATAAGATCAAACTTACCTCTAGAAACTAGCTACACAAAATTATGTAACCTTTGTAAAGAATATCTTGGCATGTTACTAATTAAGGTGGCACATCTTAACAATTTCATATAGGAATAGCAAAGATACGGGCCTAAGTCCTAACTAGGGTATCATATCAATCTCAGAATTCCCGCAGAGCTTCTGTGTATTGTACTTTACGAAACCCCAGGAGGATATTGCTTTTTTTTAAGTGTAGAGCACGTTCACTTTGCTAGATTTCCCGGCTATCTCATTCCTAACCCAAATCATTGTCCCTTTTGATTCTCAACCATCTTCACCTTCTTATATTCTGCTCCTACTCTCATCCACACCATCACATGTCCTGCTTTTCTCTTCTCTTTGCCATTCTCTCTTTCCAACGCCACTATCTGCTACTCTGAAGGTCTTGATTTGCCCAAGGAAAATGGGTGAACTAACTTACTCAAATGGGATTAGCAATGGCATTAATGGAGTCACTGGCAAAAGCCATTCGCTCAATGGTTACAGGAAGAGTTGTTGGTATGAAGAAGAAATTGAAGAGAACATAAGATGGTGCTTTGCTCTTAATAGGTACATTATATATATCATCATAGTAGTGGCATACATGAGTAATTATAAATTAAACAATAATACCACATTACCGTTTAGCTTAAACAAGCTTCTTGTTCAATTGAAGTTCTGCATGTTAGTAGACTGTGTACTATAAATGACAAAATCAATAATCAAACCCACTAATATTTTACCTTTTGAACTCTCCATTTTCTTATAGGCAAATCCTTCCTATATGGCAGCCCTTTGGTCATTCATTTCACTTCTTATTGTTATTATTGTTTCTTTTTCTTAATGATGATTTTAGAAGATTGATGAAAAGATAATGGAAGCCACAGAACAAGAAGGTAAAGAAGCAAGTGCTTTTTCATGGAGTTGAGTGAGTGAGACAAGCAAAAAGTAATAGTCTGCAGCTAATGTCTAGTTTTTCTTGGTTTCATGTCACGGAAATTTTGGCGATTTTAGCTTCTTGTGCTAGAAAACAGTAAAGCGATCTAAAAGTTATAAGGTCTTTTTGCCTGTGGCTATTAAAAAGGCAGACAACACCCAACTATAATAAAACCAAGAGTTAGCTTTTTCAATGCAAAGTTTAGCACTATCATTTTGTTTCATCAATATTCAGTAATATAATATTTCAACCTTTCTTTTCTTTGTTTTGGTGGGGCTGCAGTATATTGCATACAGGAGCTAGCCAGTACCAAGACATTGCCTTGTTGGACACAAAGCCCTTCGGAAAGGTTCACTATTTCCCTTCCTCACCCTTGTAACAAAAAGTTACCTTTCCGGATAAGAAAAAAATAATGAATCTAGCTAGCCTCTTATCTACTATGTACCTTTGCAGGCACTGGTAATTGATGGAAAGCTTCAGAGTGCAGAGACAGATGAATTTATCTACCACGAATGTCTTGTTCATCCAGCTCTTCTTCATCATCCTGTGTACTTCCTCTGTTCTTCATAATCAAATATCTTGCAAGATTCAAATATAATTTGAACTCTTTTTGAATCATCTTTTTCCATTCTATTTTCTAGTCCAAAAACTGTTTTTATTATGGGAGGAGGAGAAGGGTCTACTGCAAGGGAATTGCTCAGACATAAGACCATAGACAAAGTTGTAATGTGTGACATTGATGAGGTAAAATCTCGAATGTACAAACTACAGCTTTTCATTGGAAATGTGGGATCACTATAGTACCTATCTTTTTTTCAAAGGAACCAATATTCAGGGTAAGATGTCAAACATTTATTGCTTGTTAAATTTGTTTAACAACTTTTCAAACAATTATAATAATACCAACAACCAACAAATGTTTGATAATTCACTCTGTGCATTAGTATCCTTACTCCTTGAGTACCACGTGATCTCCCTTGTAAATATATATTTTTTACAAATTTATGGCTTTCTGTTTAATGGCGCAGGAGGTGGTGGAATTTTGCAAATCATACCTAGTTGTAAACAGGGAAGCATTCCATGATTCGAGACTTGAGGTCATCATCAACGATGCCAGGTCTGATAATAAGATAATATCCTGTGCTTGTTGGATTATTCTTAATTATTTTTGCCAATAAGATTCCTTTATGAGTGCAGCAATTATGACCAATGCTAATAGCAGCTGACACGTTGCAGGGCTGAACTAGAATCCAGAGAAGAGACCTATGATGTGATAATTGGCGATTTGGCTGACCCAATAGAAGGGGGTCCTTGTTATAAACTTTACACTAAGTCCTTCTATGAGTTCACCCTCAAGCCAAGACTGAAGAAGGGTGGCATATTTGTGACACAGGTTAGTTCATATATATAGATGCAAGGACATGCGCAAATATGTCTCAAAAACTTGCTGAAGGAAACAGAATTCAACAACTTGTGTATGCTGTTCTTGTTCTTATGCAGGCAGGACCAGCTGGAATATTCAGCCACACAGAAGTTTTCTCATGTATTTACAACACCTTGAGACAAGTTTTCAAGTGTAAGTTATCTTCAAGAGCCAAAAAAGAAGACTTATTTCTTCTTCTGAATGCTATAACCTTCTTTCATCACATTTGCAGATGTTTTGCCTTATTCAGCGCATATCCCATCTTATGCTGATATTTGGGGATGGGTCATGGTAATTTTTTTGCTATTAGATTTTATGTTTGGCTTTGTAAATGAGTTATGTTGCCATATTCTTACGTGCTATGCATAAGTTGTCAATTTATGAAAAAATCTTGATATGAAATGTCATCTTAAAGATACAATGCCACAGAAAATGTGGGTGCCTCAGTACTAAACTGATGCTCATCAATTATAATTATGCTTAATCCTCACCATAATTATATTTACATTTCCTTGGAGGGAATATATACAGGCTTCAGATTCTCCGTTGGAACTGAGTGCTGAAGAACTAGATATGAGAATAAGAGAGAGGATTAAGGGAGAAAATAGGTATCTTGACGGCAAAACATTCTCATCAGCCTCAACATTGAGCAAAGCTGTTCGTACTTCGTAAGTGAAAGAAAACACTAACACTATAGCTTATGCTCTTATACTCTTCCTCTTCCACTTGTTTTCCTCAAATTTTCTTTCAATTGTTAATGGCAGGCTGGACAATGAAACTCATGTATACACAGAGGGAGCGGCCAGGTTCATATATGGTCATGGCAAGCACGCATAACCAAAGCTTCAGAAGTTAAACAAAATTCAAGCTAAAAGGCCTCGCTTCAAGAATGTTCTTTAATTACATGTACTTCCAACTACTTCAAGTGTTATTTAAGTGATCTTGTTTATCATGGTATATTAGCCACTACTTACTTGACCAATGGAATTGCAACACCCAAAAGCTAGATTTGCGCTTCACGTTTTTACATTTATAATTAAATGAAAATGACAGTGACTGCCTACGTTATACTAATACACAGAAACTGATCAACGACATGGGAGCTAATCCTCTCAATTAAAAAAAATCACGGTTAATTGTTCAATATCAATAAACTATTTTTAAACCCTTTTATATCAAATTCGCGTACTTGATGTTAAATTCTTAGGTTGAGCAGCCGGAGAATGGGTGAATCACTATTGCCAACATTAATCAGAAAATTATAATATCCATTTCTGCTGAAATCAATCAGCAATTTTCTACCGTTACATTGGAATTTGTTTTTTCCTCAACGAAGAGAACCTAGATTGAAAAAACTACAAAACCCCTCTCCATTTAGTTTAGGTATCATGACTCCTGTACGATGTTGTATGCTACATAAAGTTAAAGCAAATGAAATATTCCAATACATTTGGACACAAGTAACAATAAAATGACGTAAAAATACACGTGAAGAGTTTCTTAACATTTTCTCACATAAAAGTGATCATATATCAACATTAATTATGACTGAGCTCTCACAAATCATACACTTGTTTACCGGTGAACTTGACCTCAGTTGGGCTCACATTCTTGCCTATAGACCTCTAATTCTGGCCAGCCCCTTGGAGGCCAGGGTTAACCTTCTCTGGGTAGACACCATCCTTGGGGTGCAAGTACTTGATCTTGTACTTGGACCATAGCCTTGTACCCAGAGCCTAACACTGCTCTTTTCTAGCCAATTTGAGGAGGTTGGGCTCCTCCCTCATGATGGCTGCACCCCCAGTGCGCATCTCAAGGATTTGCTCTTTAGGAGAGTCCCATGTGATCACATAGAATTCCTCAACTTGGGCCTTCTTCAATAGGCCCCCAGTGCTGCCACCAAAGATAGGAAAAGAAGTGTTTGGGTCCATTTGAGATGGTGAACGAAGACGTGGATGGTTGTTTCCATGGCTTTGGGCCAGAGAGAGGTGGGGTGAAGAGGGAGGCTTGGGTTGCCATGGCCATGGAGATCAATTCGAGACAATTAGTAAGATGGAGGAGGAAGAGTTGAGGCTTGTTCTCAGATCAACAAATAGTCAGGAGGAAAATTAAATTAAAAAAAAAAGTATAGTGAGATAGTAGATTGTAAGGGGTTTTTGGATTTTGGATTGATGATGTGAATGTAGGTATGGATAAGGTGATATGGTCTTCACCAATTAGATTGTCTCATTTTGGTTCCTTCTCACACCCAAGCCTGCCACCACTTTTTCATATTTCCTAGATACTCAAATGCTTGATCTAGTTTTAATGGACAAAAGTCACAAAACCACTATAAATTGTTTCCTATCAGTCAAGAGATTACCATCATTCACACATCACGGGATCTTCAATTTTTGGTTGATTTACTTAATTCTGCAATTACTACCTGATAACTGTCTATGCCCTGTAAAATTGTTTGCATTATTGTTTTGATACCAAATAAAACTACATTATGAAGAGAATGAATGTATCTTGTTTGTTTGAAAATATTTCATCTAATGTACTTTTATAAAAATTAAGGCTTTTTTAGTAAAAAACAATTTTTGCATTTAAAATATACAAATAATATTATAAAAATGCCATATAGCTTGTTGCTAGAAAATTATTTCATTTCTAAGTTGGTTCTATCTAATTGCCAAAATCAAAATAGTGGAGGAGTAAATCAGGAGAAGTAGAAAGATAAAATAGAATAGTTTTTTTTAATGATATTATAATAAGTTATTATTTGTTTTCAACTACAAATCTTAAACAAAATTATTTAATAGTAACCAGCACAGACAACTAAAGGGGAAAAGATATTTGGTTATTGGTGGAATGTTGTTTACTTCAGCTGTCAGGTTTCTGATGAATTCATAAAATTTTTATAATTTTCTAAAGTATAGATGACCGACACAACTTAGTGACATACTAATGTATACCTGTAAAATGAAACAATGGTCAGAACTTTCTTTCACTTAACCTTAAAAACACCACCACGTTAACTAAAATGAAAAGGGATCAGCACAGGTCCACCACATTTGTATTGCAAGCTCGCTCACTCAGGACCGTTCTTGACTTTTTAGACCAAGGCAAAATAAAAAATTAAGGTCCTTTAAAACAATTATGAAATATAATAAACAAAATAAAAGTATATATTAATAATTTTATTAAAATAATATTTTTTTAAGTAGCTATAATTTTTTTAATAAAATTATAAAAAAATATTCTTTCATTCAACTAACTTTTATGTTATAATTAACTACAAAAACACAGAAGATTATAAAAAATGGATTCTACAAGTATTTTGAGATACAAAATCATCAATGATAATATTAATATTAATATTTTTTTTAAAAAATTTATCGATTTATAAAATTGTGAGATCATTCAATGGTTCTTGTAACATTGATGACCTTAAGTAGGTTTTGATTAACTCTAATTTTAAATAACTTCTTTCAGTTGATGATATAGTCATCGGGACTGTAAAAAAAATTCTATAATTGATTAAAACATTTAAATAACAATCTGTAAATTTGACAAACTCAATAACTATTTAATTTTTTTGGAGAAAACTAAAATTCTCCATAAGATTTAATGTTAAGGATAGTAAAATTTTGGAATTAAATGAAGTTTTGAGTCTATAGATGTCAATGAGTCGACTATGTTTATAGCAAGTGAGGTGTAAGAAATTTAAAAAAAAATTATTTTTTTATTTTTTTCAACTACAAACTGTAAAAGCTAAAAAAATTATCAAGTAAAAGTAAGATACGATTTTTACTTTGGGCCTTCTTTTAAGCTTGAGTCTTAGGTGATCACACCTCTAAACTACCCTCAAAATTGGGCCTGCGCTCACTCAAACTTATTCTCATTGGAGAGGATTCAAAAGAGGAAAAAACTTTATAAAGTAAATATTTAAATTAGTTTCCAAATAAAAATATTTGATATGTTTTTATCTTTAGAATAATTAAATTAATTATTGAATTTCACAAGATCACAAATATGTAGCACTTTAATCTTATACTATTTTTTAAAACTTAATTAATTGTTAAAGATTAATTTTAATTTGTGATAAAATCATCAGTGTTCAGTGACTTAAATTAGTCTTTAAAAAGATTAATTTTAATGGATAAGAGACACCCCTCTTTTTCTTGAGCATAATTAATTAAGTTATCAAGAAACTGCGCATCAGAGAAAGTTAAAATGGCCGGTTACTAGTGATAAAGAAAAAGAATGATCGAGTCCACAGTGTGGAAGCGTTCTCTTTTTCAACCAATTTGCTTACGTTTGTGTTTGTGGAATTTGTCATTTTACCTTTAAAATATCAAATCAAAAGGCAACAAAATTGGTATGCCATCTATATTATTTATTTATATTTATTGGGTGGGGTACTTGGCTCAATGATTTTAAATACTTTTTAAGTGGACCATTTAGAATCCCACTTATTAAACATGACTATTTTTTTAAGCAAATAATCATTTTTAGTCAAATTAAAAAAAGATTATTTCTTAAAACATATTAATCTAAATACACGAGGAAGGTTTTGATAATAACATTTTGGATAGTCATAAAATATCCAAAATGTTTCTATTAGAAAAAATTTATTTAATATCTAAAAAAATTTTAAAAATGAAAATGTAAATAAATAAAATTGATAGATAAAATTGATTTTAAATACTACAAATATAATCATTTTAAAAAACTTAATTTTGAGAAAAAAATTAAAAACAATTGAATTAGTAGACATATTATTTTATTAATGATTTATAAACATTTTTTATATTTAATATTGATTGAAGAAATTTAAAAGTTAATCAAAGAAAAAAAGGATAACAAAAATCTCCTTTAATTGAATAACTAATCGAGGAAAGAAAATGTTGATTTGATATGAAAACTCGTAAAATACATGTTATAAAATAAGATATGTTTTACATGATAGAAAAAAAAATGTATAAAAATTTAAATTTAAATCATACCTTTTGAACTAATGTATCTCTACTACCATATTATTCATTAAAAAAAAATATGAGAAAGGATAGGGAAAATGAAATATATTTAGTAGAAAAATAGGTCTTGGTCAATTCCCAAAGCCCAGATTTGCAGAATTGGCCTTTTTCATAGGGCTTCCCCATAAGATAACGTGGTGGGGCATAAAAAATTATACTTTAAATATTGTTAAATCTCCAAATCTGTGATTATTACTTGGCATTTGTCTACAAACTAATATGGCAATGAAAGTATAAATGGTTATCCATATTTGACCTAATTTTATCTCCACTTATTCGTAGTAAAATAGACTAATTTGTATATAATTACATTTAAATTTAATATAATTTGTCTGTATTAAATTGATTAGTCCGAAAACCCATCTGCACATTGGTATGTGGACTAAAATGGTTTCGCTTTTACTTTAAAAATTGACTTTTTAAAAATAAATAAATAAATAAATTCGCAATTGAAAATTTTGAAATTTTCTAACTGAAGCATATGTAGATGGTAAATTATGAATATTGATCCGTGAGTTGTAACTAATATACCAAACTTTAGACGATAATGACACACCAAAAACCCTTCATGTCAAGGCTCTTGCTTGCAAGCCAATTATTCTAACCCTTTTTGTTAATCTCTTCAAAGATTTATTTTGTGGTAACCCATTGGAAGTATATTCTTGTTTATGTTCGGATCACGAAAGCATCTATTGCCTATTACTTGTTGCCTTCAACTGCTTAATTTTTATAATAATGAATATACTTAATGCCCTAATCATTTTAAACAAAGGATTAGTTCGACAGTCTAAAATTTAATCATCATTAGCTTTTAGGACTACCCAAAATCATCCTTGTACCTTAATTGTTTGTCATACGAAAATGCACCCATGCAAATAACAATCTATCTCTCTCCACTAAAAGGAAAATAAAAAACAAAATATAAAAAGCGTTGGCTATGAAAAGAGAAAAAGGTTCTTAAAAGTGGAATATATCCCTTGGAATAAACGTTGGCCTTTCAACAAGGATAACTTCCCACTTTCGATCGACGTGAAAATTTGGGTTCACACATCTTAACATTTACACTTTTTAGAATATTTTCAAAGAAGAGTAATGGTTAGAGGTGTTTGCATATGCGACTGCATTGATTTTTAGAAGAATAATTAATTCAATTTACTCTGTTTTTATTACATTGTTTATTATTTCAAAATAAAATTCTGTATCTAATTCAATATAATATTGTCTAAATTGATTTTGATCTACTCAGAGTTTTGGTTTTGGGTTATAATTTTTTAATATATATTCCATTAAAACAACATTTAATCAAGTTGCATCGAATACAAGTTCAATTAAACTTAACAAAATGCATCAGAATAAAATTTATTCTACAATCTAGATAGAATTTTAACTTAGTTGTCAATTGTATTATTCCCACACAATATATATATATATATATATATATATATATATATATATAAATTTTGCATTTAAAAACTAATTTATTTTATTTTTTATTTATGCACTGTTTACTTTATTTATTTTTTTCGAGGCAAAATGGTTTAATTTTAAATAATTTTAAAATGCCGAGCTGGTGTGAAAAACAACTCTAACACAGTTGAAGCTTAATGCGTGAATCATCTGCCAATCTACCTATTTATTCGGCAGTACACTTCCTATCAAAATCAGCTTCAAGATATAATAATTATGTTTTGAAATTACAAAAGCGTTTTTTTTTTTTTGTGGAAGTTATTAAATGTTAATAAATATAATTATAATTTTTAAAGATTTAAAGAATATATTAATTATCATTTAATAATTTTAAATATTAGAATAGAAAAAATTGATGTAAAATTGTAATTTCAGATATATTATCTTTTTAACAACATATTTGGCATATTAATCTGATAGCGAAAAGATATAGAAAGAATAGCGATATTTGGGGGCGTGTCGTAGAGGAACTTGATCATAGAGTGAGCGTAACAAACTAGGGCTACAACCCCGATCTTCACGCAAAGCTCTGGTTTTACTCTTCTAGATCTGCAAATTCCTCTGCAGTCAGGTCCATCGAAGCCGAGATTTTCACTTTTTAAGGTTTATTTTTCTCTGGGTTCTCTGAATCGGAGGAAAGTTTATATATGCTTGCCGAATTCTGAAGCTGCAAAATTACAGAGCAGAGGAAGGGTATTGCGTTAGCGTACCCAAGAGAAAAATATTCCCTTTTTGGCATGTGAGCCATAATGGGGTCAGGAAATAGAGCACCTTCTTCTTCTGGGCGCACCGAAATGTCCATCTCCGGCAAGGCTTTTGATTTCTCTTTCAGTTTTGCTATCTGTCTCATCACTGAAATTTTTTTCTCTATGTTGATTGGTTTGTTCTTAATCACTGCTTTACCATATGATTTTGTTAGTTTTAGCTGTTCCCTTCTTTTATACGGGGAATTTCATATGAAATTGTGGATCTGTGAATTTAATTGTGATTTCCACATCGTGGTTTGGATCGGGACTGTTCTTGGAAAGCATCCACCTTTTAGTTTTTTGGTGCTCAGTCTCGCTTAATTTGGATATGCTAGGGAACAATTTTTTAAGGCTGATCATGACTTTTAGTGTGAGATTGTGAGGGAATTTGTTATGGATGAGAGATGATTCATTGAGTGTTTGTCTTACGAAAAGAGGAAAGGGAGTGGCAAGTGAAGAACTTGATTGACCCACCAGCACTTGGTCTCTGTAACAACTAAATTGTCTGTGTTCTTGGTGTGAAATGGGTGCAGGGTTATTCACCTGGAATCTAGGCTGGCACAATGCAATGCACTCAACCATTAAATGTGTACTGGGTTTTTGAAGTGTTAGATTCCTTAAAAGGTTTTTTGAGCTATATGTTTATCATAACAGTTGATGTTATGATTTGTAAAATTTTTTATTCAGTTTCATCGCACATAAGTTTAAGTCTGGTTAGGTGGGGGAGGAAGAGTAATCACGCGACTCACGCCAGAAAAGAGTCGAAGACAAATAACAATTTGAACATAAACCGGTCATGATAGCTTTTGACATGAAGATAAAGCATAGAGTTTGCTTTTGATGTGGCTGATTTTATTGTCCTTTAATTCTGGACGTATTGAACCTATTTTTTGCACACCTGCCTTACTCATATTTTTATATTTTCCTAACAAAAAATTGTGATAACATTTTATTATATCCCATATGCTGATTAATAAGTCTTTATTTTGTAGGGCATCGTGAAATGCACCAACTGGATCTAGAAAATTTGACACTAACCACACAACCCTTCAAAACATTGAAATACTTTACACTAGCTGTTATTCAATACTTGAAGAAAACAACATTATATCTGTTGGCAAAAGGTGGGTGGCTTATGCTTTTCAGTGTTGCGGTTGGGGCTCTTGGGATAGTGCTGACAACCATTGATTGCCTGCACGAGAAGGTATTGTATTCAGTCAGTAATATAAGCATGATAGTTTTGGATAAAATAACTCTCCATTTTGTTTCTTTTTTGGCTACTATATGCAATATACTACCATGGCATCATAAATTGATACACCCAAGCTCCCAGAAATATGCAGTAATAGTACAACTAGTAATCACCCCTAGTGTTCATGTTGATATTTGATATTATTGGGTGAAGGATGCTAATTAGAACCAAATTTCCTTTGACTCTGGATACTATATGAGGATCATTTTTTCTTTTTAATTTCAGTCATAGTACTCACACTTGTTAACTTGACCATTTTTTTATGTAGTTCTTTTGTTCATTTTGTCTAGACACTTACATGGACTGTATAACTGGTTATTCTTTTTGCAGCATCTTGAGGAGATTCTTGAATATTTTCGCTTTGGACTGTGGTGGGTGGCCCTTGGGGTTGCTTCTTCAATTGGTCTGGGTAAGCAAAAATAACATATCACCAAAGTCAGATGATGGTTCCTGATTATGTAATGGAAGGTTACTTGGTTATAATATAGTTGGTCTTGTAAGTAGATTTTTGATTTGAACTTAAAAAAGAATAATTGCTTGCAATATGTATATTATTACAGTTGTAAGGACTTGCCAATCCTTTGGCCATCATCTTGGTCATAGAGCTTGTGGCCTATGAGTTTACAATCTCCGTATTTTACACATACATGCATTAGTAAATTGTTCTCCTATTGTTTTATTTGGTTCAGGATCTGGTTTGCACACATTTGTCCTATATTTGGGTCCCCACATAGCGCTGTTTACAATAAAAGCGATGCAATGTGGCCGAGTTGATTTGAAAAGTGCTCCATATGATACAATACAATTAAAAAGAGGTCCTTCTTGGCTTGACAAAGACTGTTCTGAGTTTGGGCTACCGTTATTCCAGTCAGCATATGGTTCGCAGGTTCCACTTAGCAGCATTTTGCCTCAAGTTCAGGTAGAGGCTGTTCTATGGGGTATTGGAACAGCTATAGGAGAGCTTCCTCCTTACTTTATCTCTAGAGCAGGTATGATGTGTCTAGTTTTACGACATGCCATTTCCTTACATTAACAGTCATTGTTTAGTTGATGTAATAGTCTCATTTGGTTTATGCCATATAAGCCATAGAACAAACCTTGTATTCAGAGTCCATCTTATCTACAGTTTTCAAATACTTTTATTTTGACACAAGTACTTTGTGGTAACTGCTTTTTAATTTCTTCCATAAATTTTTTATGTCCATCTCATCTGATTTTCCTTGCTGATTAATTAGTTTTTTTCTGTAATTTGGTGCTTATTAGTTAGTTAATATAGGAATTGGTTTGTACACTATTCTGATCAATTTTTATACATAGCACGCTTGTCTGGGAGCAGAGTGAATGCCATGGAAGAGTTAGATAGTGAAGATAAAGGAGTTTTGAATCAAATCAAGTGCTGGTTTCTTTCGCACTCACAGCATTTGAATTTCCTGACCATTCTAGTGCTTGCTTCGGTTAGTAGAGACTTCATGCTTCATTTCCTGCATGTCAATTATTCTCTGTTAAAAAGTTTGTACTGTTTATTTTACATTGAAAATTTCTTGATTTATTGCTATGACGATGCTATTGATTGTGTATGGCAACTTCCTGAGTTAGTTTGTTAGTCTTGACTCAAATTGCATCATGAAACAGCATATTCTTCTCAGCTTGAAATTTTGCAGACCCAAATATGAACATGCATTGATTATTCACCACAATCCTATCAATGAATTTGGCTTTGTCTTTAAGATTCTTTGGAGAATGGTGATTTTGTACCCAATGGTAGTTACTTCCTTTTTAGGGGGGGTAAGAGATAAAACTGGCCATCCATTTTAGACATATAAAAGTAGAATTTTCTTTATAGTTTGACAGGAGTTTACTCAATTGGTACTGTTTTCCTGTAAAGGTTTCTCAATTGTGGTCCAACAGAAAGTAGTTTCATCACTGTAACTGCTGATTAGGTTTTGCATCTCCATGATCCGTAGAATGTTATCATGCATCAGGGTGCTGTGGTACATATTTTTTGTTCTGGTTCTGTCACTTCTTTCAATATAAAACATGAGATTGAGAAAATATATTAGTGCTTAGGAATTCCTTTATTTGGGATGCATCCTCATCTAAAATGGCATGTAGTATATATGCTTCATCAACTTGTAAACAACTATTAACTGAATTTATATTCAGGTTCCAAATCCTCTATTTGACCTTGCTGGTATCATGTGTGGACAATTTGGCATTCCATTTTGGAAATTTTTTCTTGCAACCTTGATTGGAAAGGCAATTATCAAAACTCACATACAGGTTAGTATAAGTTTGGACTTCGTTTGTTCCCTTACCTCCTAATTTATCCTTTTATAAGCCTTTCATTTACTTTGTAATGACTCCAAATTTTGACTTGTTGCCTGCAAAATACAATAAAATGGTCATCCAACAATTTTATATGATTTTGTGGAAAGTAAAGGCAAGGAATGGTTTGTCTTCGAGCAGGCAGCCTGATATTTTTATTATTTATCTATCTATCATCTTTGGGACTCTCTAGTTGGTCTCTCTCATTATTATTTTATTTAAATAATGCAAATCCAATAGTTTTTTAATTTAATCTTGAAGCCACTCTTATGTATGGTTTACTTTCTAACAGTTTATGACCATTACCTATTTTTTTGTGACCCCTTAGATTATAGTAAAAGAATAAACAAGCACGAGGTAGAGTAATATTAAATAAGGACTATTTGTTGTTGTTAGAGAATCAAATTGATGGCATTAGTAATTTTGGAGGACCAAAATAGGTCTTTCCCTTCAATAAAAGAAGAAATCCATTCAGGCACAGAGCTAGCAATCTATATCTACAAGTTTTGACTGATGACCTCTGTGTTATGTTCTTTTTGCAGACTGTATTCATCATCTCAGTTTGCAACAATCAACTTCTTGACTGGATAGAGAATGAATTTATCTGGGTTCTCAGCCATATACCTGGTTTTGCATCTGTCTTGCCTAAAGTGGTTTCTAATCTGCATGCAATGAAAGATAAGTATCTGAAAGCACCCTATCCAGTTTCCACAAATAAGCAGGTATTCATTAACTGCAATGTGACATTTGTATCAATGCTTCTTTGATTTCAATTTTAAATTGCTCAATGTTGAGTTGATGTCTGTGGATGTTTCTAATTTGTGCTTTGGAAACTATTTTATGTATCATCTTCAGGGGAAAAAGTGGGATTTTTCTTTTGCTTCAATCTGGAACACTGTTGTGTGGCTCATGCTTATGAACTTCTTTGTCAAGATAGTGAATGCAACTGCCCAGAGGTATCTGAAGAAGGAGCAGGAGAGACAGCTTGCTGCATTAACCAAGAAGTCTACCTTAACAGACTCAAACGCACAATGAATTGTTTTATGTTCTGCTTGTGTGCCCCTTTTTTTTGTGGTTTCTCCTGCAAGCAGAAGACTCATTCAAATCACAGCTATTCCTTAAGGCCCCATACAAGTTACTCCAAAAACTCTGCATCAGAGTTCCTGTTAGGAGCTTTCATAGGAATGAATATACAGTAGGCGACAAAAGTTGCAACTTTTTATTTCATTAGTGTAACTTTGGGGCAACAATTGTTTGGATTTTAGATTTTAACCCTCATATTAATTGCTGCTACAATGGAATTATGGGAGCCCTATTCTTTTGCAATGGCAAGACATTATTATCTCATATTATGAACACTTTGTTTCTATCTCCTGAATGTCTATGATGTTAGTTGCCGCCGTTGAGATAGTGGATTTTGATTCAACTTTCATGATTCGGGTCCTAATTTAACACATTGTTTAATTGACTTATATTCTGGCCTTATATTTCATTAATAATTAACATTTCACTTAATATTTTTATATAAGAACATGTGCCATCTTCACATGTATGTAACTAACTTATATGCAACATTATATTTATTTAATTGAATCAAGATAATTATTCAATTTGACTAAAATAAAATAATTCTTTGTTTTAAATAAAACAAGATTACTCTTTATTTGAATAAAATAATACAGATTTATTATATCAATAATATTTATATGAATAAAAAAATATAATTATTAATATACATTTGAAATTCAATAATATGTAAATATTTATATAAATAAAAATTAAATTATTAGTTAATTTATCAATTTATATATAATATATATGTATATATTTTAGTTTATTGTATCAGTAATATTTTTTTATATTATATTAATGTTATAGTGTAATTAATTTTATGTGTATTTATTAATTTAAAATAATAAATTAATTAAGCAAATAAAATTAAATATTTTATAATTATTTTATTTTTTTAATTTAATAGTTATTATTATTGTCATTATATATATATATATATATATATATTGCATTGAGTTTTAATTTATTTATTTTTTAAAATATAATAATTTTCTTTTAACTGATTCAACAAATTGTGTAAATATTTTTTTTGTAATCAATTTTACGTGTTCACTATAACTTTATTTGTTGAATATAAGATGTCTTTAAACAAATAAAATATAATCCTAAAAAAATTAAAATCTTTAATACTTTAATAATTTTTTAAAAATAAATCAAGAAAATATAAAAATATAATTTTTTAATATGAAACATTTATAATTAATATTCAAATAATATTTTACAAATTATTTATAAAATTATATAAAAATTATTACAATTATTTAATAATTATCAATAACACATGAAAATTAAAAAAAATGTAAACTAATTTAATAATAAAATATTTATATTTTTATTAATATTAAGATATTTTTTTATAGCAAACTTTGTTAATAGGCTTCAAGTCAGGTCGGATTATCTAAATAAATCGAGTCAGACCGCAAATAAAGTCTTTAACAAGTAACATGTTACATTTAGGTCTAATAATTATATTAAAGGCTGAAACTATTTAAAATAAAGTCTGATATAATCTATCTATTTTCATTCTTACTGTTATAATATTATATTTTGATTCAACTTTTATGATTCGGATCCTAATTTAACACATTGTTTAATTAACTTATATTCTAGCCTTATATTTTATTAGTAATTAACATTTCACTTAATATTTTTATATAAGAACATGTGCCATGTTGACATGTATGTAACTAACTTATATGTAACATTATATTTATTGAATTGAATCAAGATAATTATTCAATTTGACTAAAGTAAAATAATTCTTTGTTTTAAATAAAACAAGATTACTCTTTATTTGAATAAAATAATACAGATTTTTATTTCAAATGAAGAAAAAAAAAGTATTTGTATGCTAAATTTTTTTTTTCCAACTATGATATTTTAAAGGAAAAGCAAATTAATCGGATGACAGTGTTATAGGTACCTGTACGTTAACCGGAATGAGTTGTCAAAATATTAATAAATATGCTAGTTTCATATATTCAAGACTAGAGATTTATGTTTGCGAAGGAGTTGAAGTCAAAACGAGCTTTTTTCCTTCATTCAACAAGTTGAGCTGCAACATTTAACATTTAATTGTATTTCCGTAAAAGTGTGAGGCACCTTTTACCTATGTCGACCTATACGATAATTGAATTGATGCATTTTGTTTATTGCATTTACGTGCGGATGTTTTGATTCATCTTCCTCGTGGACGGTTAACTCCCTCCGCGTTTTTCTCAGAGGTAGGTGGCTGCAACATTATCTTTTATGCTAACAACATTTAGTAATACAAAAAACAGGGTGACCTAATTATTATTCAGTGGATTCATAGTTCACTGTTCACTCAAAGCAATTTTGTTTAATGTAGTAATTATCTAAGGTTCTTAATTTAAAAACATATGCAACACCACATTACACGTGTTTATTATTAGATTAGTTATTAAGAATAATATTAACCATTATTAAACGATTAATTTAATAACTTTGCAGGAAGAAAATCAACATAATTTGAGGCGATGCGTTGTATGGCATTGAAGAAGAGATAAGATTGTGACATGAAGGAGCCAAAAAGTAAACACGGTTAATAACTCTGAGATTTAATTGGTTCCTGCTAGCGTGTTGTTGCAATTTCCAAAATAATGGTATAAATTTAAACTTATCCGAATGGTTTGAGATATAGCAAGAATGTGAGTGAATGATGCGAAGAGAGTGAAAAACAAGTGCGGTAACGATTAGTCATTAATGGATCATAGAAAAGTTGCTACACTTTTCGGCCACAAGATTGACACCACTGCATCATTTACCCGTGGCTTCCATTTCTTCTTTTTCATTCAACCCTCTTCTTCTCGTGAAAACCAAATGCATGCCTTGACCAGTTTGCACCATTTCTTTTTTATCAACATTATCATTTCGATCACTATCTTCCTCTGTTTTCTTTGTCCTTATCCGCAATATAACTAATCTCAAACCTTCCCAAATTCAAATATTGCTACCATGGTTTTGGACAAGGAATTTCAACCAGTCAATTTTGAGCACTCCAACTCAGACTCTGCTTCTCCACTAATATGACCACTTCTCATTTTTTAGAAAACTAAATTAGTGCCTTTGGCGTCATTAATCTCTAAGAAAGCTAAATAGCTTAAATTTGTTAAAACTTTAGTCAAAATACCCAGCCTTTAGTCGTCATTTGTTATTACTTCAAATTTAATTAATTAATTATTTACTTATAATTGATCATAAACTTTTCATTTAATACAAGCAATAATGCGATTGATTATTTATTAACTGAAAGCATCACTTTATTTCTGATCATTCAATTTTCTTAAGAATCGGTAAAAAAAAAAAAAAAAAACATTTTTATAATATTATTTTAAGTGAGTTGTAGAAGCGTGTGTATTTTAAATAAATCAGTTATTAGAGATTAGAATATACTTATATTAAAATCGGGAAATAAGCACTAAATTGAGGAGAACAAAATACTGATTTCCTTTCATAGCCTTTGTGTTTTCCGCTTGGTTTTCAACTTCATGGTCGGTGTGTTGGTAATTTGGTATTTGATAATTATAACTTTTCATAATTTATTTTAAAAGCTAATAATTATTAAAAATATTAAATACCTTTTTACATTCTAAATATTATATATATATATATATATAAATATATATATATATATTAAATATTTTTATAAAATAACAATAATAAAATTATTGAAAAATTATAAGAGAATATAACACTATTTGTTGGTAGAGTTGTCAAAATAGATTGACTTGGATAAGTCTACTATAGTATAGAGTTTAACTTTTAGACTTTTTAGTTAAACCTATATGAATTTTTCTTAATCCAATTCAAGTTGGTAGATCTATTTAAATATCAAATTAGTCTTTAAATTCGATTTATACTTTTATTTTAAAACTAAACAATTTTTTGGACCCAACTTAATAAATTCAAAGTCTGAATTGGGTTGACCTAATGTGACCTGGATAGCCTGTTTTACTGTTAGTATTGTCTACTGTAGTAAGCTAAGGTAAGAATTGAAACAAATAATCTAAAACAATATCAAAAACTAAAAAAAAACTTTTTGAATAAAAAACGCACAAGATTGTATTTTTTTTAATTACATACAACTCACTTTCCCAAAAAGAAATAAAATAAATTTTGATTATTAATTAAAAATAATTATTAATAATACGCGTCTATACATAATAAATCATAGCTTGTTAATTTTTTCTTTATTGATGAATCAAACTATTAGCTGAAAACATTGCTAGTGTAAGAAAAAATTATGAACGAAAAATAAATTTTAATATCATCATAATGAAAAAATAAAAATAAAAATAAAAATAAAAATCAGAATCTCCATCTCCGTCTTTGTAGCTTCTAGATGAGGAGGCAAACATAGTCACACGTTTTAGGTGACAGATAATCGATTAATGAGATTCAGATATGACACAATGACCACATGTGAAAGCAATAAAAAATTATGTCACTTTCATGAGGGAATCTGCCACGTCATACTATTATATCATCCATTATCCTTAGGATCCTCACTTTTCAGCAACCATTTTATTTTTCACCCACTCCTTTCCTTCATAAATAGCATCGTTAATTAATTATCTTTTTCTTCTTCTTTTTTCTTTCGAAACACACAGTCTTTCCTTCTTTTTCTAAACAATGATACCGGCATTAGTAGCACATGGACATGACAAAGACGCAAGTTGATTAATTATTATATGTAAAAATTACCCAAAATGTGCTTTCTGCATTTTATGAAATAACAAAAGTAGGCCATATTATATGAATTATAATTTGATCACTCCATTCACGTTTTATTTATAATTTGTATGAGGAAATTACAATCTAACCATTTCGGTAGCTAATTGCTGTGACGGGGTTGAACATAAAATCACCAAATTAAACCTTAGGCCTTAGGTTCGTTCTCAAGGGAACTAATTGTTATAATAATGAATACAAAATAACAAATAAAACATTTAATCATGTTTCTGTCAGCAAAATTCTTGAACCGCAGATTTGGCGTATGGAGTGTGTGGGTTTGAAGGCTTAAACACTGGGAATTCATGAAAATGTAGATTGATGTGATCTTTTGAACGCTGAAAACGAGAAAATTCCGAACCACTTGGGGGGGTGTTTGGACCACTGACTCAATAGTGGGTCAAATTAACAACTTAACATGTGTTTATGAAAATATTTGATTTGTATTCTTTTTCCCTTTATTTTTTCTTTTTCTTGTCTACACACAATACCGACAAATAATAATATTAATAACTCTTGTTTTCTTCTTGAGGCGACGCGTCCAGCTTCCAAGTTGATTACAATTAGCAGTGTTCAGTAACAATTAGAACTTTGACTCTAAAATCTAATCTTAATCGTTTGTTTTTCAATTTGAACTCCGACTCTTTTCATCGCATGCTCTTCTTCTGTTAACCTTGCCCAGCCCGATAAAAGCCACATTTTCTTCCAATTCATTTACAAAGAATCACAATTGATTCAGAATCAGAACAAAATTACAAAAGTAATTCTAATTATCTTAAAATTAAAACCATAATAGTAATATTAAGAATAACAATAATAGTTGTAATAATTACAGTAAAATTAATTTAAATTATATTAAAATTTGCATAAAATTATATTTAAAAATTATGATTCTTAATAAAAAAAATATTCTAAATATCAAGAATATACTCATTTATCTCTACTTCTATAATCTTGCTTAATAAGAAAAACAACTTATCATTTGCCGTTGATTTTTTAAAAATAATTTCAAGTTTTAGCTTTTTTTTTCCTCAACTCTAATTAGCTTGAACTTTCAATTAACTTAGCGTCTTTACCTACGTTAACCTTAATTTGACGTATAAACACTAGTATAATCCAGTACTTTATTGAGATTAAAAGAAAATAATCAAAATTAACTTTAGTGTCAAATTTAAAATAATATTTTAATATTTTTTTTATAAAATTTATCTTTTATAATAAATTGTATATATATTAGAGAAATATCTTCTTACGTTAATATAAATTTAAAAATTCTTATATTCAATTTAAATTTAAATTTAATTTATCTAGTGAAATAATATATTATAATTTATTTAATGTAAATTAAATAAAAGACTCAAATTAAGTATAAAAGATTTTAAATTTATAGTAATATAAAAAGATTTTATCTCATATATATCTTAATTAACATATTTAAAAATAAAACTCGAGCTATCTATCAACTATATAGATTATGCCTTTCCGGCAGAATTCTAGATATTTCTATTGTATATCCTGTAGATCTTACCAACGTTGTTGGTTGTTAGTATTAGTTAAGAAGTTTTATTGAAAATGTTCATTATATATTCTCTAAAGTATATGGGAAGGAGTTTTAGCTTGGATTTTTCATAATTGTCAAATAATTTTGCATACTATATTCTCAGGGATCCATTTTTATATAACTTTCTTGTGTATAAATTGGGTTCTACTTCTACATGAGAATCGAGACAGCGTCGATTCCTTTCACACAGATTGATTACAAACCCAATCCACGAAACTATTTCGTCACATACACACACGTGTTAGTATAATAGCTGCATCATATTGTTATCGTCCACTTTATTTTTTTTTTTTTACTTTCAAAAATCTTTAAATTGAGAGTTTTATTCAAACATAACTATCACTTTTGATTTTCTGAACCTAACTTCTTAAAATAATTTTTTGTAAAGATATTCAATTTGATTTTTCTCTATCATATATATTGTGTCAATACTTTTTTGACTTAAAATATAAACAGTTTAAATTATATTTTATAAAATGAATTTCAAATATAGGTATTTGAGTTTTTGAGATGAAAAATAATTTTTTAATATAAAATAATCTACTAGTAATTGAGGTTGAGATTTAAAAATTTGAAATCATACCATATAAGAAGATTGTAATATAAAAAATGAAATCTTAACATAAAAACTGAAAATAATTAATATTCTGGAAATTTTTAAATATGTAAAAAAAGTGCTAAAGATCTGTATATAAAATTAATTATTTCTAGTATGACATTTATTATTTGTATTTGTATCTTGATTGAAATTTGTATTTGAGTCAATTTTTGTCTTATTTACTAATACATATTCTTGCTAATAATTTATAATATAAAAATAATTGTCATAAATTAGTAGCATGCTGAAGGAATTTTGTATCCGAGTCAATGTTTTTCTAATTTTATAGTACACATGCAGGTGAGTTTGAAACAAATGTGGATGACACATAATATAGCCAGACTAAGATTTGAAATAAATACAATACTATAATTATAATTAAACACTTAAGATTTGGTAATTTTATAATTTATTATACTTATTTATACATATAATCATAATTGAAATTATGAATTTTATCAATAATTACAAATAATTTTTTTCTAAAATATATAAACTAAATCGGTATTTTTGTATTAAATTGGTGGTTTGTTTGACTTGGTAGCCGTCAAGAAAGAAGATAGGAAAAAGGAAAAAAGAAAAGCTGAAAGGCACCGTGGGGCCATCAGAGTGGTGACGCAAACTGCTTCATCATCAACATCGCATATCGATCTTCTCTCTCGCTTATAAATACCCCTTCACACTCTTTCCATATCCACTGTGCTATAACCTATCTCTCTCTCTCTCTCTCTTCGGTCTTTATCTGAGTCTCGCATTGCGTTTGCATTTTAGCACCTCAACTAGCTCCTCGGCAACAACAACCATGGCCGGCGGAGGTTTCGCCAACGCTGGTGGTGGCGGCGATTTCGAGGCAAAGATCACTCCCATCGTCATCATTTCATGTATCATGGCTGCCACCGGAGGTCTTATGTTCGGCTACGACGTCGGCGTTTCCGGTACTCTTTCTTTCTTTTATCCATTCCTCTCATATATACATACACCTTCTTCAATCTTGATTGTTTTCCATTTAAAAATATTCAACTGGAGATTTTTCACTTCAAACATATGGTGCATTTCTAATAAAAATACATAAATAATAATATTTTTTATTAAAAATTATAACGTTTAATATCCATTTATGTAGAGAATCATATAAGATATTTTAAGAAACAGTATTGGGATATACGAAACCCTGGTTTTGCCAATAAACAAACGGATACTCTAGCTAAATAGTTTATGAACATAAGAATGGGAAACTATACCTTCCATCTATTTATCTTGTTTCTTTATTTATCCATTTAAAGGAAGAAAAGTGAAAATGATTTTAGCAGCTGTGAAAAGGCAATTCTCGCTAGGATAATTTTAATTAGTGGATAATAAAACCTTTTATTATTTATTTATTTTATTCAATTGATTCTGATTGGCCTTGACGAGGAGATCACGACTACTCATAAGCCGCTAATATGGGAATCTCGCGTAAATTCCCAGAAATGCTCAACCACCTTCTTAACGAAACAACATGTAAGGGCATTTTCGAGATTTTAAACAACCACCCTCTTTCACCTAACTCACCTTATGTCCATGACTTTTGCTAGCATACCAAAATTGATTACTTTATTCTTCTAATTTTTCATAATCGTACACAAGTAAATTATCATAATATCCACAGCTCAATTTTACCATTTTTCTTTTGTATTTGAAATTTGATTATAATATCTTCTTACTTCAGAATAAAATTGATATAAAATAATGTTTTTATGATGTGGGTCTTGAATAATCAGGTGGAGTGACGTCTATGAAACCGTTCTTGAAGAAGTTTTTTCCGACAGTATACAGAAAGACAGTGGAAGGGGAAGGGGAAGGGTTAGACAGCAATTACTGCAAATACGACAACCAAGGACTGCAGCTGTTCACGTCGTCACTGTACCTGGCTGGTTTAACATCGACCTTCTTCGCCTCCTACACCACTCGCAGGTTGGGAAGAAGGCTCACCATGTTGATTGCTGGCTTCTTCTTCATCGGTGGAGTTGTCTTCAATACTGCTGCTCAAGACCTTGCCATGCTCATCGTTGGCAGAATCTTACTTGGCTGTGGAGTTGGTTTTGCTAATCAGGTTCCTTTTTTTAAATTTTATCTTATTATTTAAGAATACCACTAGTACGTACATAAGTGAATTACTATATATTAATGGGACTTAAATAACAATGTTGACTTATTGTTGCTAGCCTAATTATTAAAGCTCCTGCACATGTACAAGTGATTGTTTTCATTGATTACTAGGTTTGCTACATACTAGTATTTAGTTGGTTTGAAATTTGTACATCAGCTATGTATTAGTATCTACTATCACAGTTGTCAACGGGTCTAGTACTGTTCACGTTTGTCCAACAACCTTTACAGTTTGATAATTTGCTCAATAGGAAGAAAGTTTTTTGGTTTTCTGTGAGTTTAATTAAAACGGGATACTGTTACTAATTTAGTACGTCTCAATAATAATATACTTTATTGATACGATTTGAAGTGTCGTAGGTCTTGTTTTATGCGTCAAATTAACTTAATTGGCTGATGTAAGATTCCCAAGTCCCTTTCGTCTAAAGAAGAAAATTAGTATCCACAGTTTTTATTTAGCATGCATTGCGATTTGCGTGTCTATATTTTATAGAGAGAACATGACCGACGTATGAATGAAAAATTTAATAATAATATATATTGTGGATTGTTCCCACAATAATATTGTGGATTGTCATGCGCCAATGGAGGCAAGTCTATTTGTTTGAACCGAGACTTTTGTGACATTGTCCATGATTTTCTTATTTTGGGCTCCCAAAGTCCTAATCACCCATTTCTCCAATCCACTTCCACCACCTTTTATACTTTAAATATTCTTCCCATTGGACGTTTATGGCACTTGATGGGGACCACCTTTTGTCTACTATATTTTATGATTTTTAACAGGGCTCTTTGACTAAGAAAGCACCAACCTATAAAACTACTATTCTTTGAAGTTCCTATTTTGAAATGAGTTTCCTTGTTTGAATTAAAAAAGTCCTAGCCTTTTTAGCCTTTGAAAAAAAGTGTTCTGCAGTTTAATATTTTTCTAGTTAACAAATTTTACTTCTCCATCATTCTTTAGTCATTACTTGAACCTTAATTTAGATTCTTTACGCATACAAGCAAAACAGCTAAGCAGCTTGTAGTCCAAATCAACTATAATGGAATTAAATATATAAACTCTCTGGGTAATAATTAATGATATCAGACAGCAAATTAACTTTTTTGTGAATCTCACTCAACGTTTCCATGACAGGCCGTGCCAGTGTTCCTCTCGGAGATCGCACCTTCAAGAATACGTGGAGCATTGAATATACTCTTTCAGCTCAATGTAACCATTGGCATTCTATTCGCTAACCTCGTCAACTATGGCACCAACAAGTAAGTATCTTATGTGCTCTCCCGTTGCTTATTTTTCTTTAACTGAGTGGAAATAAAAACGAATAAGATGATTTATGCGTTAGAAAACAACAAATTATATATAGTCAAAATAGTAGTAAACACTCGAATTTTTTTCCCTGTGTTGACTTCATTGATGCTCAAGTTTTCATCACAAGTAATGGTTAGCAAATTGAACTAATGGATGGTGTGGGTGGTACCGGTCAAAATTGTTAAAATTGGTAGCCGTAACTTACTGTTGAAAATAGAAAGCAACAAAATTATGACCATTTCTATGACTTATATCACCTCAATCCAAAGTCTACCACATGCTTGCCTCTTTGTAGTGTGCTATCTGCTAACGGGACAAGTGTCAATTGAGTGTTTAATCATCAAGTTTCTGTTTTGTATCATAGGTCAAAGTTGGATACTTCAAACTTGGATTAGGATCATACGCAATTTTTAAACTGCGGAAAATTTCAACCGTTGAAAGAAATCCTTTTTGTGATACAATATTAAAAATTAACACCAATTTTTCAACAAGTGACATCTTGAACTACATCCCCTGTAGATCTTTCTTGAATTGCAGAGGATCCTGTTCCAAGATTTTGCATTTCTCTAAAGAAAAAGAGAGAGAATAAAACACCACCCAACTTTCATTTTCATGTCGTGGCCCCATCTTGGTGAGGGCCAACGTGGTCCAGGCCCAGAAGTTATGAGAGTTGATAGAGAACGATATAGCACCGTGTCTCCTAGGTGACCATTAAATAATGATAAGGAAAACACCTTGATGTAGAATGCAAAATTTTTTCAAATAAAAAAGAAAAAGGAAATACAAGCTACCTAGTACTCATGAAATCACTCAGATAAAGTCAAAACATAATGGTCAATCAATAGATTTTGGTGAAGAAATAAATCTTCCTGAATCATTCTGTTTTCACGTAAAACGATTGCTAATATTTTGGACATGATAATTAAACTCTGAATTTGATGTTTTGATTTACATTGGACTGGTGTTCATTGACCATTATTGATGTTGTGACGTGCAACGACAGAATCAAAGGTGGGTGGGGTTGGAGGCTATCTCTGGGGTTGGCTGGTATCCCTGCAGTTCTTCTCACCTTAGGAGCCCTCTTAGTAGTAGACACCCCCAACAGTCTCATTGAACGTGGCCGCTTGGAAGAAGGGAAAACAGTGCTCAAAAAGATTCGAGGCACTGACAACATTGAACCAGAATTCTTGGAGCTTGTTGAGGCAAGTCGTGTGGCTAAAGAGGTGAAGCATCCATTCAGAAACCTTCTCAAGCGCAGGAACCGACCCCAACTCGTCATTTCCATTGCCCTTCAGGTTAGTATAGTAATACTAATAGTGACCTACCCACTTACATCAGTGACAGTTTGGCATAGATTTAAATTGTTATTCTGATTCTGATCTTTGGTTTTATTTGGGTGTTGGAAAACAGATCTTCCAGCAATTCACAGGCATCAATGCAATCATGTTTTATGCGCCAGTGCTGTTCAACACGTTAGGATTCAAGAATGATGCTTCTCTGTATTCTGCTGTGATCACTGGGGCTGTCAATGTTCTCTCCACTATTGTGTCTATCTATTCAGTGGACAAAGTGGGGCGTCGCATGCTCTTGCTGGAAGCTGGTGTGCAGATGTTTTTGTCTCAAGTGGTGATAGCAATCATACTGGGAATAAAGGTGAAGGATGATTCCGATAACCTTTCAAAAGGTTTTGCGGTGCTTGTGGTTGTTATGGTGTGCACTTTCGTGTCTTCCTTTGCATGGTCTTGGGGTCCTCTTGGGTGGCTGATTCCAAGTGAGACATTCCCATTGGAGACTCGCTCAGCTGGCCAGAGTGTCACCGTTTGTGTCAACTTGCTCTTCACCTTCGTCATTGCTCAGGCCTTCCTTTCCATGTTGTGCCACTTCAAATTCGGCATCTTCTTGTTCTTCTCTGGCTGGGTCTTGATCATGTCTTTCTTCGTGCTTTTCCTGTTACCGGAGACAAAGAATATCCCCATTGAAGAGATGACCGAGAGAGTGTGGAAGCAGCATTGGTTCTGGAAGAGGTTTGTTGAAGATGATTATGATTACGCTGCCAATGACAAAGTAGCCAGTGTCAATAATGGATATGATCCAACCTCAAGGTTGTAAATTGCAGTGCGGGCTTTTGCCAGATCAATGTTTTAGGCACTGGAATACATGCTCAGCTAAGAATGGGTTAGTTACAGTTCATGAAGTTATTTTATTACTTCCCATGTTGGTGGCCTGGGCCTCCAATGTTGTAATCAGTTAATCAAACATCAATTATCTGGTTTTGCAAGCCATATGAGATATAAACACTTTTTTTAGTCCCTTTACCTCCCCACTTTTTTTTTTAAAGATTGTTACATAATACATAAAAATTGTTTTGTCTTTGGAAGAGTAGTGTAGATAAGATTTCCAAATTGCATGAAGTGGTTAATAAACAAACAAGGCCATGATAATGCCTGCATTTGTTCTGTACCGAATGCTGCTAGTCAATTTACTTTCAATTGTTACTTCTCTTTTCCTGCAAACATGGAATCGCACATCTTCAACAACTAATCTCGTGCAATAGCTTCAGCTTCAGTTTGGAAGTGAAAAATTGTAGAATAAACTAATAAATAGACGACCAATAAGCAGGATGGAGGCAGAGTGTACTCATGGCTTTAATTTCGTATTGAGGATTGGGTTCTTTATATATGAAGCCATTGGTTATTGGAAAAAATATAATTACGCTATGCCAAGCTCAAGAGCTTTTGAAATTCAGATGACAGAAGCGAAAGAAAAGGGAGCAAAAGGTAGTGAAGAAAATGAATCTAAAAAGGGACAAGGAATGGAAACAGCAATAGGGGCTGGATAGTACACAGCAAAGAAACAGAATGAAGAGTATGAGTAATGATATGTTTATAAAAGCTTTGGCATTTTAAAACAATTATAATAATTACACGTGATGATAATAGGCGAATTCTAGCGTCTACTTTGACAAGTAATAGAAAAATAACTTCTAAAAGAACTTGCATACTGGATTTTCTACCGTTGAGAAGTTTTTTAATGATATGGTAAAGAATATAACATATATGAAATTAGTCATACAAATTAAATTTATTAAAAGATATTGTAATAATTTGATGTATATATTTCCTTTTTATTTTTGTAGTCTTTAATTCTCTTACACACAACGTAGATTTACTCACTCTCTATCTTGCATAGATAACTATGCAGCCGAATACCGTCACCTTCCATTTCATTCGGTACCTATAAATTCTAAGGGTTTGCAATGGTGAAATCTTTTTTTAATAATAATAATAATAATAATATACAAAAAAAATTAGAAAATATTAAAATTTTGGAAAAATATTTTTTGTTCAAATTTCCTTTTAAATTTGAATTAATTAGGTCTAAAATATTTATATAAAATAGACATAATTTGCCATAAATCAGAGTTTTATGCTAAAAATTATGTCTTCTTAAAGTTTACAACTATGAAAAAGAAAAATTATAAAAAATTTTATGCCTTTCTATATTGATTATTTTAAATATCCAATTTAAAAAGTATTACTTTTTATATAAGTTGCTTTAAAGAATTGATGTAAAAGAGGTTGGGATGAGAGAAATGAAGGAGGAGGAACGATGATAAAAGCTGAATAAGTATTTTTATCAATTTACTAGTTTATTCTTTATCATTCATAAAATTATTCAAAAAATTTATTTAAAAATTATTAAACCTTAGTCATTTATTCATCATAAAATTATATTAAAGGTCCCTAATGACCTACACTTTTCTTATTTAAAAGCACTATTTTCTCAATTCCTTTGCCTATCAAAGTTAAAGGTAGGATGTTTGAATCTAATAGCAGTGTAGAGCATTTTATGTTAAGTATGGGACAATTCTGATTGCAAAACAAGTTATTAGAATAGTGATTGTGATAAAAAAAATATATCTTATAACAAAATCTACCAAAAGAGTAAATAAAATTACAGTGCACAGTCGTGTCAATTTTTGGCCTCCATCTTAAGTAAACAGACTAATCCTAAAAGGTACACGGGGTTTCTCCATTTTTTTTTCCCTTTCTTTTGTGAGAGAAAAATCCTTTTAGTGTACCTAATGGAAAACAAGCTTAACCAGTAAAGTACTTGTATTTATCTTCAACAATTGCTTTGTATAAAGATTTGATACTCGTACATAATGATAACGTATTGGATGTAGTATAAAGCGAATGCTTATTGCTTTTCTCGTGTGCAAAGCAATATGACCTCTAAATGGAAACAATGTATGGTGGTTGCTATTTCATGATGACACTCACCAATCATTTGATAAAAACATCTTAAAAATATAAAAACCGTCATCATGGTTGCAATGAAGTGCAGTACCCGCACAGATCCAAACCGTTTTCTCCAACATTCTTTCCTTCCAAGTCTCACAACCTCACACCCATACCCACACACGACCAAGACCATCAATGTTGCCATTTGTTTGGATAGAAAATATATGCAACTAACATATTACCGGTTATCAATATTTATCAAATTTTTATTTCAATTTCACACGAAATTCTTTTGCTTAGACTAGTGTTCCCTACACAGGAAAGTTCTTCATTTGCATTGTCAAGATCAAGATAAGCCAACATCTATGATCCAACCTTATAACCCTTAATACAATAATGCAAGTTTGGACCACTTCTACTTTTACTGACAAGTTTAAATTTTGTATATATCCCATGAAAGATATTTAAGTTTCTTCGTCTTGCATTCCAATCTAACAATAAAAGTATAAAATAAAATTTAGCCAAAACTAGGAAGACAATCTTCGACCCACTGCCACCATCTAAACATCATTGCAATGAGAAGTAGGGGGCCACTGATGTCGTTTTGTTCATATTAAAAAGGAGGTTTTTATCAAAACAATTTATAACAAAAAAAATGGGACCAACTCACTCACTTTTCCATTCTTCAAGTTCCAATCTCAAACTCCCTAAGCCATGTAGTCAAAGAGGATATATAAAGAGGCCAGAGAGAAGAGAAGAGCCTCAATTGCTCAAACCTCAGGAAAAGGAGAAAGGAGTTTCTAATTACTGTGCAGGGATTGTAGCCATGGCATTGATAGTGAGAGCTGTGGTTTTCTTGATGGTGATGGCAGCTTTTCAGGTGTCATATGCAGCTGTGCACAAGGTTGGGAACTCTGCTGGCTGGACCATCATTGGTAATGTAGATTACAAAAAGTGGGCTGCTACTAAGAACTTCCAAGTTGGTGACACTATTAGTAAGTTCCTCACTCCAGTTGTTTGTGGTTTATTCATGTTCATTGTTAGCATGAGTTCAAAACTTTCTGGAAAGTATAATATCCTTTCAATGGTAAATAGAAAATAAACAATCTTAACAAAAACTAATAGTTCGGTCAGATCCTTTTCTACCCATGCACAATTTGGTGTAGAAAAATTGGAGAATAAAAAATATATATACATCAATTTTTTTTCTATAACCTTGGACTCAAAATTGCATGTAATACCTTGTTTTGCTTCAAGGACACCAGCATTGCACATCCAGGGGAAAAATCATGTTTCTTATCACGCTGCTCTTTATTATTGGAATTTTAAGAGAATGTAATTAGGGCCCCTACATAAGAGGATTTAGTTTTTACTACCCAATTTTTGTTTTCTTATGTATTTTATTCTTGTACTAGCATGACCCACAACTTTCATTTGCATTAACATTTTGCTTTTAATGGGCTTTTTCCTTTTTCTTTTTTTCTTTTTATAGAAAGATAGTAAACAACATGCAATGAGAATGTTGGTTGGTTGGTCCCAAGAAGGATTCACAAAGAGTATATTCAATAAACCTTCAAGACATAATAATTGTGGAGCATGGTCTCTTTATTTTAATTTTCTCTATTATTATCAGTATTAATGAAAGTGAAAGAAGTAATGAACAAAAAAGATCATTGGTAATTGCTGTCACCAGTTTTTGAATACAGTGCCAAGTTCCACAATGTGATGCGAGTGACGCATGCCATGTACAAGTCATGCAATGCATCATCCCCCATAACCACCTTCACCACTGGCAATGACACCATAAAGATAACAAATTATGGTCACCACTTCTTCTTATGTGGCATCCCTGGCCACTGCCAAGCAGGACAGAAGGTTGATATCAACGTGCTGAGGAGTGTATCTGCAGCTGCAGCACCAACACCATCATCAGCAATGGCCACTCCAGTTCCAGCTACCAATGTACCTGCACCTACTCCTAACAATGCAGCCTCATTGATTGTTGTAAAGGGTACTGTTTGTTTGATGAGTTTAGCCATGACACTGCTTGCAGTTGCTGTTTCTACTTTCTAGCTATGCATAATAGGGAATTGTATTTGCAACTTGCTAGTTGTTAAGAGTTTGGTTTATGGGGCCATTTGGTTCTTTGTTTTTCTTGTGGTGGAACACGTCATAGCAATTTCTTTAAGAGATTCATTGTCAAGATCCTTCGGCTTGTTCGTAGGCATCGTGGTAAACGTTTTTGAATGGCAAGAAAACTTTTCATTCTCATATCATGTAGGACTTTCAGGGTGGATGAGTTTAGAATCCAAAATTTATAAAGTTGTCAGTCTTGAATTATCACAAACAATTTTAAAATTAAATCTTCATTGGTACATGTCTTTTGAAAAAGTTCAAGTGGGGGAAAAAAAGTAGCACCCAGGTGTATTTGACAAGTACTGAGATTTGATTCTTATAAAATAACTGAAGTATATCTAATATTAGTTTAAATTAAATAGTTTTGTTAACTTTGACTAGAATAAGTAACTAATAATAGTAAAATTTTATTAAAAAAAATTATTATATTTTTATCTTTAATACAATAATTATATAAAATTTTTCATAAAAAGTTTCTATTTATAAATACTTAAACTCAGTTTCAGTTTCAAATGTTGAAGTTAACAACTCTAAATTAAAATACTTTCTAATGACCCACACACACTCTTTTATTTTGATGGTGCTTCAAAGCGAATGTTAATCGGTCATATAAATAAAATTGATAATTGAACCATTAATTTTTCAAATTAATTTGGATAATTCATTTATTTTACACCAAATCTAATCTAAACTCATTTTCATTGAATTCATAGTTCAACTTGTCACATAAACTCACAATCTAATTTTTTTTTTAAATCATAAGATTTCAAAATTATGCTTTTGAACTTTAATGAATGAATTATTTCGTAGAAAGAAAAAAGTGATACAGAAATATGTTGATAAGAAAAGCTAAATATTATTGAATGTAAAATTAATTTAATTACTTTCTCAAATTAAAGATGAGTACTAGGTTAATATTTTACAATCGATAAAATTTAAGATTAAAAATAAAGATAAAAACTTCAAAAAGCATGATTTTTATTTTTATTTTAATCCAACATCATGTACTGAATTCCCAATTTTAGTTAAATCTGTTTAGTTAAGATTTGTTAAAAAAAAATACTATTAGCTTCTTACAGTGAAAAGTTAAGATATAAACTTCCCAACTAGGGATAAAAATAGGTTAGATTTTGCATAAATAAGTCTAACTTATTTAATAATTTTGAAACTTGAATCTAGCCTATTATATGTTATAGGCTTTTTATTAAGCATATTCTAACTTTTTTTTAAAAGCTTGATTTAGCCTATTAGCCTTTTTAACTGTTTACTTCGTATTGAGACATTTAATAGGTCATTACACTTCCTTGTAAATATAATTAATATATATTTAAAAATAAATTCTCAAAATATAATTATTTTGAAACTAATTCCTTGTCTAGGGCTATTTTTTGCCAGATCACCAGTAATATCGGCCATGCAACGAAGATAGCTTTTTTTTTTATTAATTTTTATTACTCTATCGGCCACAAACTTCTGATACTATTCCAACATGTGACACATGGATATTTAAAATGACAGAAAAATAAAAAGAAAAATGTTTATTAATATAAAAAAAAAAGGGACGATAGCTATTATTTTATATTTTTCTTACACTCTATCGGTCACCTTTGGGCGGTACTAGTCAAGCTTGTGACATGTGACGAGTAGGAAGAAGTATCGGACTCTGTGGGACGATAGCGCTGTCGGTGGTCAATATGCGTAAGCTCTATCGCTTTGGCTTGGATGATACTAGTGTTGTCTTGACACGTGGCACGATGCATCTTTTTATCTCTTAGTTTCTTCCTGTATATCGGTTATTGTCCAATTTTACTTGCTATATATACATGGAGGAGGTTCCGAAAATGCAGTTTGTACTGGAGGAGCGGAAGAATATTTGAGGTTAGTAAATTTTGTGATTAATTTTATATTTTTGTATTAATAGTGTAAAAATTTAGTATGAAATTTAAATTAATTTGTTTTTATTATTGAAAATTGGTAAAATAAAGGAAGGATTTAAATATATTTAATATAATATTTATGTAGATTTGTTGATAGGTATGTATTTATATATTTTATTATAATTGATTTATAGAAGAAAATTAGGAAAAAATTGTGATAAACATGTAAAGTGTAAATTTTGTAATGGGAAGTCTACTGTATTGTAAATGTAGTTATTGTTGTAGTTGTTAATTAAATAAAGAAATATTAATTTCTTATTTAATAGGATTTGAGAAAAACAAATGTTGAAATGATGTATATTAGGATGCACAAGTAGGTAATAAGTTATTATATATATATATATATATATATATATATATATATATATATATATATATTATGTAACAAATAAATATAGATGTTTTGAAAATTTGAGAATATGATTAATATAATAAAATGAAGCATAATAATTTATTAAAATATTGAAAATGTGTGAAATTTTGTAATTATAATTGAAATATGAATGGGGTAATTTGTTATTAACAATTAAATAAATAAATATGTTATAATTGAGTAGTATAATTTGTTGATGCAGGATGATTGATTTTGTGATAATTGTATATTGAAACGGTCGAATATTTTCAAGTAATGAAGGTGTTACATTTGAAGGAAATAATAAAATGATTAAGATTAAATGCGAAATAAGTTTGGAGACATTGAAAAGAAAGATTCATGCAAAACTGAAATTGTCTACCAGTCAGGTTATATCTAGATTGATTTCACGATTTTTAGTAGACCCGATTGTTAGACAATACACAATTATGGATATATGTAATAATGAAGATATTGATTGCATGTTAAGTGCTTATCTTCAACAAAATCACCGAAGTGCAATTGAAGTATATGCAGATATTGCGTCTGGTGAGAGTTCTTGTATTCAGACACAAGGTGTGGACTTAAATTTATCATGTTCACGTGATAACATGTCTGAGGCAGATGAACCCCATTTTTATCAGGTGTAGTAATTTTATATTCTCTGATGAAAATATATCAATTTAATTTCATTGTAAGTATGTTTACCTAACAATAAATGTCATGGTTGTGTATAATGTGAATATGAGAATGAAGATGATGATGACAATGAAATTGAATGGGGGATCTTAAAGAAACTTCATCTGAATCTGATTTGGAGGGTGGAATTCATAGTAGCTTGAATATAACTGATAATGCTGGAGTCAAAGGTATTAAGTACATTAATCTGTTATAAAATACGTTTCAATAATAATGTAAAATTAATCGATTGTGTTGTAATATGCAGGCTTGGTTGAAACTTCTTTTTAGAATTCAAGTCCACATTATATCTATATTAATTGGGAACATACTAATGAAGAATTGAAAAATATAGATGTTGATCCTGATCAAGTATGGAGGGAATGTGATGCATTATTTGTTGGGCAAATATTTGAGTCTAAAGAAGATGTTAAAATGACTATTAAAATCTTTGCATTGAAAACACATCAAAGTTATATTGTGGTGGAATCAAAACCAACAAAATTTCATGTGAAATGCCCAAATCATAGTATAGGATGTCTTTGGAGAGTTAGAGCAAATTTGGGCAAAAATCTTAACAATTGAAAAATCACAAGGTGTGGTGGACCACATACTTGTGTTCATGCAATGATGTCTCTTGACCACAAAAAATTGGATTCAAACTTTATTTGCAGTTGCGTTCTTGGTAAGTTGCACTAATTTTATTACAATACGTTTGATGGTTCTATATATTACTGAAGAACATTATACATAATTATATTGCTATTTGTAGATATGGTAAAAGAACAACCACCAGTGCCAATCACATTAATCCAAGAAAGAATTAGTAGTCAATTTGGCTATCAAGTTTCTTACAAAAAAGCATAGAAGCTAAAACAAAAAGCTATAGTAAAAGTTTTTGGTGATTAGGATGAATCATATGCCACATTGCCAAGATGGTGGAATACATGCAATTACATTCATCTGGGTCAGCATACAAAATTGAAACTAATGACTATGTGAGGGGTCACCAAGTGGATAACAGATATAGAGTGTTTCATCGATTATTTTGGTCGTTCAAACAGTACATCACTGCTTTCAACTTTTGCAAACCCTTGATATAAGTATATGGTACATTCTTGATGGTAAATACCGTCAAACTTTACTGATTGCTACCGCATAAGATGGAAATAATTGTGTCCTTCCAATTGCCTTTGCCATTGTGGAAGGGGAAACTTTGTCAGCATAGGAATAGTTTTTGGCTCTTATCCGTCTTCATGTCACTGAAAGGGCAGGTATTTGTTTAATCTTTGATAGACATCAAAGTATTAAAAGTGCCATTTTTAATCCACATATTGGATGGCAACCACCGAACGCATATAATGTGTATTGCATTCGTCACATAGCAAATAATTTTAATCAACGATTCAACAATGCAGGCTTGAACAAAGAGTTAATTAAATTAAGTACGAATATTGAGAATAATTTAAGTCCAAATATTATTCAGTCATCACGTATTGATTAATTGTCATATTATTCATTTCTTTTTTTAGGATATGAAACATGCAAGCAAAGATTTGAAGAACAACTTGAATGGTTTTGTAACGAGTCACAGGACATTAGAAGCAGGATTAACTGCATCTCCAAAGAAAAACGGTCTTTGGCTTATGATCAGGAAGGAAGATGTTATGGGCATATGACTACCAATTTATCTGAAGCTGTGAATAAAATTTTAAAAGGTGCACAAAATTTGCCAGTAACAACATTGGTCAAATGTACATATGCACGGTTAGTAGAGTATTTTGTGAAGAGTGGTGAGGAAGCAACAATAGAGCTTAATATTGGTAGTAGATATTGTCGTAAATTAATGCATCAAATGAAGAAAAATCAGCAGGAAGCTTCTTCACATCAAGTTTGACGATACGACATGTTGAGAACAAGGTTTAAAGTAGAAGAGGCTTTTAATCCTATCACGCAACGTGGTAGTAACA